ACAATTAATAATTGTCTCAGTAAATGCCCAAACCCTACAGAACTGGTGCCTTCAGAGAGCCACTACAGTTACATATTTGGCGTCCCTGAGCCGGTTTTCTTACACTGCCTTGGCTCAGCATTGACGTTTCGGATGTCCTGAAACCCGCCTAGCACCAGGTCGCCCCACGTCCGCTACCGAGGGCATAGGTTTCTATACGGCATTCCCTGAACAGCTGAGCCTGGGCTAACCCCCATCTCACTGCTATGCATAGGGTCTTTCACGCTCTCCTGCCATTTCATGGTTCATCCTTTCCGACATCCCTGATAGGAAGGTGCCATAGAATATATTAATCAATAAAAATCATTTGCTAACATGATGAACTGAGTTTTCTAGCCTCGGTATGGAACAATAAACATAGTTCATTGTAAACTACAACTTACTGAATGGTAGTAGAGTGTAACAGGATGTGGAACCTATTCTCCAGCTTCAGGCTCCAGAGAGCTCAGGTCAGTTTGAGTCAGCTCCAGCACTGCTATCCCTGAGCTCTCATAGGAAATCTTTCTGTTCTCTAAAACCTGTGAGTGGGCTGTGCTTCATCAGAGGAAATCCTAGATATATCAAAGAAAGTCTGGCTCACCATAAGCTTGGATCCTGCTGGAAAAGAGAGAAATAGGGCTGTCAGAGGCCAAGGTTAGCTATGAGGAGGTACTGTATTGTAAATCACCCAGCAGCTTGTTAGCTGTGTGGTCAGCTTGCAGCTCCAGATGGCACATTAAGAAAGTAGGATGGACTTGGGTTGATTTAGCACTCTCCTGACACTTCATGGCTCATGGAGGTGTGAACCAGACCCAGTGAATCACAGCATGGCCTGTGTTCATGATAATCAGCCTCTTCTAGTGTGAAGCTGGTGATCAGCACCTGAGATGGATTACCTCAAAGGCTTCAGAAACACAAATGACTTTAATGCTGTTTAGTGGTGGAGCCCACTTTCAGACCTTCATACGGGTTTGCCCTGCTTTAAATAAATTACAAATTAAATATATTTGTGTTAAGATGTGTTATGAATAAGGATGAGCATGATAGCACAGTATTAAGTATTGCTAAATAAGCATTGCCCTAGGCTCACTTCTGGACCCGGGTTGCTGTCTGCGTGGAGTTTGTATGTTCTCCCTGTGTTCACATGGATTTCCTACAGGTGCTCCCTTTTCATTTCACCATTAAAATACTGGTAGGTTCATCCAGGGTGTATCCTGACTTGCACGCAGTGCTTGCCACAGTAGGCACTGGCTTCCTTGCAACTCTCTACTCCTTCGTAACTGTAGCCTCTTATAACTTCATATACCCCTTCTCATTCCCTGCGTTCTTCCTCTGCTGACAAACCAGCCCTTCCGCATCCTCAGTTCTCCAGTTTCTGGAGCCCAACTGCTTTTCCAGCCTTATACTTCAGTGGTGGAACAAACCACTATTGGATGTCAGGATTGCACTGTCTCTAGACTGTCTTCGCTTTCGTGTGACGCAGTATTGCTCAATGATTGCATTTTGGATTTTGATATTATTTAATTTATATAATTTTTAACATTGCTTGTCTTATATTTCTCATGTAATTAATTAAAGTAAATCATGATAATTATGTATTATTTATTGTATTTGCTTTATTTTGATTATTGCACTTAATCCTGACTGGTTGCATTTTTACTCAGAAGTCACCCTACACAAGTACTGTGCACAAGACATATATCATTATAATGATAGTGTAGTGCTTACGATTGTGTGCTGAGTATTCTTTGAGCATTGTTTTTTGCTGGTCTGATAGTAAGCTGATCTGTGATAGTTACCCGATTGTGACCTTTTTTGCTTTTTAAAGACTAGAACATCCACTCTGGTATTGGAAAACCTTGTATTTGTTTTTTGCCCTTGGCCTTACAATGACCTACAGTACCAACTAAACAGAAAATGCAGTTCCATTTAACATTAACAGGAAATGCAAGGAAACATTCAGTCTCTTAGTTTGTTTAAAACAAATGTTTAATTTGATAATTTATAATAGTGTTTTATTGGTTTGCAATATCTTACTCAGTATTACTATGATGAGGTTTTATTGTTATAATCTGTGAAACACTTATTGCCTATTTTGCAATTGATTGGATTTGTGTTGCTATTGTGTTGCTATTGTCATCATAGGTTACATCTGTATTGAAACAAATATGTTAATGGTATTTAATTAAGGTCTAATTAAAACTCAAAGTCTCTGAGGATGTTTCACAGTGAGCTTCTCCCCATATCCCATATATTATAGATCATATAGACAGTACATTAAAGGTTTTTTGTTGGAAAAAGGCACAAAAACAAAATTGTCATTCAATTTAAAAAATATATATATTGATATAAAATATATACAGTATATATTTGTAATCTTACAACAATTACATTTTTTTAATTCAAAGGCTTTAATACTGTATGAGAACATATGAAAATATTGTTGTGTTGTTAATGATCTTGCTTTGTATTTGTTCAGGATTATTGAAGTAATATGATTTTTCTACGTTTGAAATGTTTCACCTCTCAGTTTAACCTCAGTGTGGCATCTTGTCATTAGTTATTAGTCTGTGCTAACTGGCACTATCATATCAGCTGGTTATTAATCCTGAACTCCTGCTGATGTACTGTACATGTCCTCTGTCCAGGCTTCATCTGTCCTGCTGTGGTTTCTACTTTCACACAAGAATTCTTTACATCTTGGAGCTCTTTCTTCAGCCCTGTGTTTATGTCAGGAGGGTCCTCTGCTGCTTGGAAATGTTTTGATGCAGTAGACTGATTACTCCTGCACCTGAATGGTTAATTCCACGTCACTTATCTGTTGCCTTCTCCTGGTTTTGCAGAGTCAGCTCTCACAAGCTTTGAACGGTGTGTCTGACAAAGCCAAGGATGCCAAGGAGTTTCTGGTGCAGCTAAAGAACCTGCTTCAACAGATACAGGTCAGTCTTTATTCGTGAGATTGTGCTAATTAAAATGTGAGCACGGAGTAGCAGCAGTCATAAATTGTGCATTTCCATTCATCCATTTTCTAACCTCGTTATCCAATTAAGGTAGAGAAGCCAGAGTCTATCCCAGCAAGCGAAGGGTGCAGGGCAAGGTACACCCTGGATGGGACATCAGTCTATTGCAGAGCACAGGTTCACACTCATGCCAGGGCCCCTTTTCCAGAAGCCAATTCAATTCAATTCAAGGTTTATTGTCCCCTAGGGGAAATTTGTTTTGCCATTGAAGTCCTCCGTATGTCTTTGGATAGTAGCAGGAAAACCACCCAAAACAAACACCGATACCACCCCAGGTTGCTAGTGCAGTGACCTCTAACTCCACCAACCTATCCATCACAGCTCTCTTGAAGTCCCTTTTAAGAGATTATTTCGATACCTGAATCCGGAAGTGATCAGCAATTTGGAGCAATTCAACCTTCCTACACTTATCCAGCTGCTCAAAGGAAGGTTCCTCCACAAACTTTCGTAGATCAAAAGTAGCCATAACTACCTTGCCAAAAACACAATCTACAAATCAAAATCCTATACCAGTCCTTATTCAATAAACAAATACCAAATGACGCTTACCAGTCCCAAAATGCACAAAAGTACAAGCAGCAAAATTCTGCAACACAAAAAAAACACTTAGGACGGGAATTAGGAATCCTGGACAAGCCCCTTATAATGTTACGACCCCAAGTGTCTAGGGGTAAAGGGGTGTAACATTTAGGATAATTTTTGGAAGCAGATGGGTTCTGGTGAGGGACTAGGAAGCGTGATAACAAGGGTTGGTGCAAAGGTGATGAATTTAAATTGAATAAGTGACTGGTAAGACACGATAACAAAAGGAACTAGAGGGGTGCCAAAGAAAATAAAATAAACAAAATGGAGCTGGCTAGGAAAGTGAGGGAAAGCTAACCTGACTACAAAAGAAAACCCGGAACACACGGTCTTCGGCGTCTTCAAACACCCTAGCCAACCTCCACTGTCTACCCAAAACCATACAAGACAAACGACACTCACCCGTACTAAACTAGTGTTAATAATACAAAATGAACATAGTGTGTAGAATGTACCCAACAACCTAAACTAACAAAAGTTCACACAAAAACACAAGTGAACTAGGAATACAAATAAGGGAAAACGGGATTAATCAACAGGAACGGGGTACAAAAGAACACAAAGGTTGAACATATAACACCTTAGGGCAAGGTAATGGCAAAACAAGAATAAACACAAACAGACGAAAGTACAAAGAGACGAACAGAAACCAACAAAACAACAAAGCCGAAGCTATACGAAAATATACACACACAAAGCAAAACAACAAACCGCAGAAACCGAAGCTGAAGCCAAAGCTGAAGCAGAAGCAGAAGCGATAACCAAAGCCGAGCGGGACCGAAGTCAAACGAAAGGCCCCTTCCTTCTGAAAGTCCCCATGTTTTATAGTGAATAAGATGCACTCTGAGAAGAGAAGCTGATTAATGATGATGTCATACTGAAACAGTGAAGTAATTTGTGGACCAATGGGTGAGGAAGAACAATCAAAGGTCAGCAGTGTGGAACATAACAAAAAATACACATAGACCACACACTGGGACTTAACACCAGATTCAGGTATCGAAACAATAATGTGCATATGTAATATAATTCACCTTAGCCAAGGTAATGGCCCACTCTAGGACACTTATATCAGTAGTATGATTGGAGACATGGAATCATACTCCACATACGTCTGGAATATTAGGCTTACTTTTGCTCCTCAGCTGTAAATCATGATCTCACATAGTTTTATGTTTTAATGTTGTTCGCATTGTAGCATTTCGATTTTTCTAGCTCTGATATTCTGTATATGTCTAAACAGGAAAACGGTGTGGAGTTTGAAGCCTGTCTGGTTGCTCAGTGTGATGCCCTCATTGATGCTCTGAACCGACAGAAGGCCAAGCTTCTCACAAAGGTCACCAAGGAGAGAGAATACAAGCTAAAGGTGAGGAACTGTGTATTAATATGCAGTATTTGTTTATATGCTTTTCATTCATATACTGTATCAATAAAGTGTGCTGTGTGTTTTGTGGAACAGTGAAATTTTATGTTCAGAAGGTAGAAGGCTTCAGCTGCTGATTTGAGTTTGTGCATGCAGGTAGGTTAATTAATTAGGTTCTGTATTTAATATTTTACATCATTTTTCACAGCCCTTACTCTGCATGGTATGATTTTACAGATCCTGACATGTGAATTTCATGACTCAGAATTGTTGCCAGTGGCTGTGCTGTCCAGCAGCTTTTTTGAAGCAACAAATAAGTAAATAAATGCAGCCTGTCACTTCTTTTTCTCTTTGGTTCCTCTATTTTTTGCCTTTTAATTTTAAGAAACAAACTCTAAAAAATTGTAGATATTCCGAAATTTCCATATACATTTGATGCTTGTATTGTGTTTTTGATTAAATAAAACATCTTAGTGTTTCTTTGTATAGTAAAAATGCCCAATATTGATGTATTTTGTGTGTGGGAAATAAATAATACTTTAAGGCTAAAGCTGGATAAATGTCCTCGAACTGGTCTGTAGGCTAACAAGAATTTCTGCATCCTTTGAGACTAATCTGTAGAACTTTCCAGAGAATCTCTGCTGGGTTGCTGCAGTAGACAGTACAATAGAGATTTTTATGCAAGCTTAGACAATATTGTCTTCTTAATCTGCAATTTTGTTGCCTGCTATCCAACTTTAGCTAAGAATTTCACGTGGCCACGAGTGATGCCAAAAACAGAACACATACAGCAGAACAGAAAATAATATCCTGGTTTAGAAATGTATGCTGCTGAGGACATGGTACTTTAATCATGAGCAAAGGATGAGGATAACAAAGGAAAATGTTCAGAGCCTAAATCTGAATTGCATTTTGATATTGTACTACATTTCCTGTGATTATTTGCTTCTTTTGAAAAGTGTTTCTATTTTTAGCATTATTACAAACTCTTGTATATATATTTAGTTCTTTGATACATGTGCTACATACTGAATCTGTTCCTTAGTTTTTTCCTTGCAACAACAAAAAAAAATGCAGGGATAAACTGGTTATTGATATATAAAACTACAGAAGGCAAACATAGCTTCAAAATAGTATTTTAAATGCTCAAATAACAGATTGAAACTGGAAAAAGGGCAGAATATAACCTTTTGAAACAAGGCAACAAGGACATACTTGTATCTGAATTTCCCCCTTTAAATAGGGTTGAAAACATTGGATGGCACTTGAATAGGTTAAAAATTGAATAGGTTAAAAAAGACCAGGGAGCTAACGCATTTTGTTGTGTTAACTAAGCCATAAACAACACATTTCTGTGCAATATATTGAAGTAATCTACCATTCAGGCAAACGCTGTAAATAAACAGCATTTCAGTTGTTCACTCACCTTCGAATAATAAAGAAATGAGCTGGCGAATAACGAGACAGCTTAATACTTTGACTTTAACTCGCCCGGTTCAGGACATGCCCTCAGTACATACACAAAATACAGATTTGTAATACTGAGGTAAGAGGAAGTCAGTTTGCTGCGGTTTGCAAGAGCCAAGCAGAATGTGCAATATAACAAACCCAAAATGTGTGGAATGCAGTCAGTTGAAGACTACTGTATGTGTGCACAAGGGAGAGGAAAACAAAAACTAAAAATTAACTTTGGGGGTTCTGTATCTCTGTTGTGACAGCAGAAGGTGCTGGCAACCAGAAGAGCTGCTGTGGCCTGGAAGAGTTGCTTGATGCCAAGCACAGAAGAGAGCTGCCGCTTACTTGATTTAGCAAGAGGATAAGAGTGAATTTCTAGCTGAATCCCAGATAACAGAAGGAATATCAGTTACGGATAAGAGTTCTGGGAGAAAGGCAGAGTTGAAGGCTGATACCAACCAGTTGGACACCAGCTGAAAAGGAAGGGTGAATGGAGGATGGAGAGCATGGGGGTGAATGAGGAAGACAATATCTCATGCAGACTGCCTCTGTGCCCTTGCACCTGTAGGGAAAACCGGTTCAGGGACGCCAAATATGTAATCATAGTGGCTCTCTGAAGGCACCAGTTCTGTATGGTTTGGGCATTTACTGAGACAATTATTAATTGTAGCAGTAAATCACAAAGTTGATTCTTTTGATGGCTTTAGAATCCAACCA